TAATATGGCATCGAAAGACGAGACCTTGAGCAAGATCAAAAAGATGAAGATCACGTTTCTCGTCATGTAAAATCTCATAGAGTTGTTCATGTGTTTCATAAGTAGTTTCGATGATTGAAAACATATTATTATTTTTATCATCATGAGTAATAACTCGTTGCATAAGTAGATTTTTTTCTATGTGAAAATGAAGTGATGTATGAAGTAAGGAATGTTTGTTAACAGTGAGATGAAGAGCATGACGAAGTTGTTTAATCGATAAAGTATGGTTTAGTTGCAGACGATAGACAAAAGGCATGTTATAAATTGCTGTTTGAGGCTTGTCTGAATCGAAGCGAGTTCGTTCATCAAGCCAAATACGAGCTTGTGCAAATGATGCTGGTGCTAGAATGATGAGAGTTTAGTTACTTCTAATATGAAAGCTGAACAGTGAAATCATGCTTGATATCAATACTGTAGTCACTTTGATCTAATTGATCTTTTAAAAAAGCAGAACCTGTGTTAAGAGCAGTGCCATAATATTAATGTGAAGACTGCGTTAATATTTTACATTGTCCGTAAAAAAATATTTCAATATCCCTCCAAATTGAAGGTCTGACACTGAAACCGCTCAAAGTTTACTATAGAAATCGGTGGATATTATTAGTCTTAATGGGATCCGATGGCATGATATTGTTTTGAAACTTTTGATGCTCACTGATAGTATTATGTAGTAGTATTGTGTTGATCTTAATAAGAAAAAAACAATAGTTTGGCACTTTAATTAAACTAGCATTGACATAACGCAAGTAGTGATGACTTTCTTAAAATGAAAGTTTGTTCACTTTTGAGAATTCAAATTTTTAGAAAGAGAATAGTATTGTTTTTTTAAGAATGTCATTGGCACTTGGATCATGGCAATAGAAATCGAATGAAAATGGCGAACTTTTGTTTCTTTGATCAACTACTAACATAAGGGTCATGCGAGTTTGTAGAATTCTTACAGAAAATATTAGTATTTTTCTGGTTCAAATTTATAAGTGATAATCTTACTGAATACTCTTATTAGTTCTATCTCAATCTACGCTATGGATTTAGCCGATCAAACTTATTTATCTAGTTCATAGAGATTCCCTCAAATAATTTATAAATTTGTCTATAATGATATGACATCGTTATCTATTTATTGATTTTTTTTGTCTCTTTTTTCTTTTTCCTTTTTTGTATCATATATATTGATATCCTTGTACTATCACGGTTTTAAGCTAAATGAATAAATATAAACTGGTGCACTCTGTAGTGGACTTCGTCTCATCTTCGAAGGGTATGGGTGGGTGTGGATGTGCATATTGTCTGCAGCATACACTGTCATGCACTCCCACAATCAGACCCACGCCTTCCGATCCTCAACTTTTTCTACTGGGGATGTTTTTAATATGTGTCTGTGACTATCGTTGCTAAGTATTCATCGTTGCTCATATCTTTATGTACTTCGCTCTTCTTATATGATGCTCTTCTGCAACTAAAGAATCTTTTTATACAAAAAAAGAAATAGCCATACCTTCTGTAGCAACACCTGTCACGCGACTTAATGTTAATGTATATATTTCGTTCGCTTCTTCAGGCAATATCAAAGACAGATTTTTGATAGACTTAGTAGATAGATTCTTTTCCATGCCATTTGCGTTTGTCGAAAATAATTGTGATAAGAGATACTGGAATCGTTGCGCTGTTATTTTAACAGTAGTGTTGTCAAATAAATCATGCGAACAGGAGAATAGACAGGAAAGTTTATGATCATCTGATGTCGGATTGTACAGAAACACTGTTGAGAAGTCAAACTGAGAAATTTCATCTGCTTGTTCGATTGATATTTGTTCTAAGCGTACATCACCTATAGAATATCGATCAATATTTGTAGACACCGGTAAGAAATTAAATACGATCTCAAGAAATGGAACATCCAATTGGTTAAGTCGAAAATCAGTAAGTATATGTTGAAGTGGATAATGAGAATGTTCAAGAATTGATAAGCACTTCTCTCGGACATGTTTCACAAGTTTATCAAATGACCAATGAGAATTGAGTTGAACACAATATGGTAACGTTGAAACAAACATACCGATCATATTTTCTAATTCACTCCGATATCGGTTAGCATTAATAGCTGCAATGCATAAATCAGTTTCTCCATGGGTTAGTTTGAATAGAAACATATAAAATGCAGTCAAACCAAGCTGAAAAGGTGTAATTTGATGTAATGAAGCATAATTGAGAAACATCATCGACAGCTCCTTACCAAAATAGATTTGAGCTACCGACGCCAAGCCAGATCGTTGAACAGCTGGCAAACGGTGTCTATCAACTGGTAGCTTTAATGCACGTTTGAGATTAAATCTTTCTAGTTGAGAATACCAGAAGCTACGAGATAATGTCATATCCATAATTCGTTCATAAACAGCATAATCAATATATTTCACTGATTTTTCATCAAGTGAAACTGTCGTATTATTACTATAAGCATTATAGAAATCATTCAACAGGATTGCTATAGAAGTTCCATCAACTGCTGCATGATGGAAATATAATACAAGAACATCAGACTTTTCAAGAAAGTCTGTGTGAGCAGTCTCATGCGTAGTCTTCTGCTGTTGAAGTATTTGACAACTAAAAACTCGACCATTGGACAAATTAAACAGATCAGGATTGATAACCGTTCGATAAATAATATTTTGAAGTTCATTTTCACTCTCGAAAGTCTCTTGATCAAGAAATGTAAATGTCTTGTGATTGTCAGTGACATATTGCTGTAGT